AAGGATAATGCATTTTTTTAAACCAAAGGATTTTAGGAAAGGATTTGGTGGTGTGATGGGCTCTAGGCAGAGGGAGCCGGTGTGGAGACCTGCTCCTCCCAGCACCAGGAGCTCACCTGGGCCTGCTGATCCCTGTTTTACCCAGAGATGTGAGTTCCCATCTCCTCTTCCCTCCCTGTTCCTGCTCTTCATGTCAGTGCAGTTCCCTGCAGGGGCAGCACGTCCTGCCTCCCTCCCTCACTTAGCATTTCTCCAGCTGCTTAAAGAGCTGTCAGAGGGAAGCAGGGCTGGAAGAAAGGCTGTCCCTAACTCTGGGCTGTGCCCAGGCATCCTGGGTGCCTGCTTTCTCTTTGCCATCCCATACGTGGCACCACGTAGAGTCGGGTAAACTGTGTCCTGTGGGGCCAAGAAACCCTGATTTTGGAAGCCTCTGCCTGCACCCATTGCTGAGGGACCAGGGACCCATCCCACCCACTCTCATGGCCATCAACTGCCAGGGAGGTGATGTCCTACATTTGCCTCAAATGAATAAAAAGCAGGTGCTGATGTCCCACTTGAGGTGGAAACCTGCAGTGGCTCTGGAGGGAAGTGATTCCTTCCCACCCAGAAGTGCTGGGTTAATCCCATAACTCACCTCTCTGGGGGTTTTTTAATAGATATTATATAAATCCTCCTGAAGGAGCAAGGAGTGACAGTGAATAACTTACAGCCACTTCTTTCTCCCCCCCCCTCCCTTTTTGGCTTTTAAATAGCAAGGTCTGCTTTATTAGAGATGCTGGCAAGGCAATTAAGCCTAAAATTGACCTGCCTTACAGGTTTAAGAGCTTTATTATGGGCTTTGGCTTCAGGAATCCCTTGGTATCTTGTCTTTAAAATACTGTTTATGACAGCAAGAATTGAAAACAAGGACATTAGCAGGGGGAGCAGCAGAAAACTGGTGGCCAGGCAGCTTAGTTTGCTGTTCCCAGCCAGTTACTGGAGCTTGGAAACACTTTTCCCAACTCCTCTGATTTTCCTGAAGGTGAAACGAGGTGGGTTTTTTTTACAGGCTCTTTAACAAATTTGTCTGTGTTTCAGAATAGCCACCATCCATTTCTTTTTCTCCCCTCGAAACGTTTCATTTCAGTGGTGATTTTTCATTTCAACGTTACTGGAATGAAATCAGATGGTTTTATTTCCCCATCTGCCTGCCTTTGTTTGCAAATACCCTGCCAGTTTATTGAAAGAAGGGCTTGTATCTGAGATGATCCATTTCCCTTTGCTTCACTAATCCAAACAGAGGGCTGAACCTGAAACAATATTTTTTTTCTTGTTCCTTGATGAGTGGAAACATTGGAAATTTAAAATTGGCCTGAAGTGGATCTTTTTTTTTCTTTTTCTCTTTCTCCTCCCTTCCCTTTTTCTCCCTTTTTCTCCCTTTTTCTCCCTTTTTTTTCCTCCTTCCCTTTCCTCCTTCCCTTTCCTCCTTCCCTTTCCTCCTTCCCTTTCCTCCTTCCCTTTCCTCCTTCCCTTTCCTCCTTCCCTTTCCTCCTTCCCTTTCCTCCTTCCCTTTCCTCCTTCCCTTTCCTCCTTCCCTTTCCTCCTTCCCTTTCCTCCTTCCCTTTCCTCCTTCCCTTTCCTCCTTCCCTTTCCTCCTTCCCTTTCCTCCTTCCCTTTCCTCCTTCCCTTTCCTCCTTCCCTTTCCTCCTTCCCTTTCCTCCTTCCCTTTCCTCCTTCCCTTTCCTCCTTCCCTTTCCTCCTTCCCTTTCCTCCTTCCCTTTCCTCCTTCCCTTTCCTCCTTCCCTTTCCTCCTTCCCTTTCCTCCTTCCCTTTCCTCCTTCCCTTTCCTCCTTCCCTTTCCTCCTTCCCTTTCCTCCTTCCCTTTCCTCCTTCCCTTTCCTCCTTCCCTTTCCTCCTTCCCTTTCCTCCTTCCCTTTCCTCCTTCCCTTTCCTCTCCTTTTTTTCTCTTTCCTCTTTTAATTCTTTTTCTCCTTTCCCCCCCTGCATTCCCCCCCCCCCCTCTTTGTTGTATGACTGAAGAATGACCCATCACACACCTTTAGCTTCACATCTTCCCAGCAAAACCCAGTACATTTCTGGGGACATGGGAAGCTGTGGGAAGCTGTGAGATGTTTCCTTTCCTCTGCCTCTGCCAGCATCTTCTCCCAGTGGCAGCTGTGTCATGCTGGGATGCTGGGGAGGGGGAGCCAGGGTGCTGGGAACCCCTCTAAGAGATCTGGGAGCTCGTTGCATCAACCTGGTGGTAGTTCTGATGTGGTCAAGCTGACAATCAAGCTCACCCTGGTGTAGAGCACCCTGGCTCTGGGGGATTTGCTGATGCTTCAGCAATATTTAACATTTCTCTGTTCCTGTCCCTGGCTCCCAGGCTGAGGCTGTGCAGCCATCCCAATGGATCCTGCAGAGAGCCAGAGCTGTGGCTGGGGGTGGGATGTGTCATCCTTGCAGCTCCAGCCCTGCCCCAGCTCCAGCCAGGCTGGCAGAGCATCCTTTGGTGTGTCCAGAGCCACAGGGCTGCTGGCCAGGCTGGCTGACCAGCTGTGCCAGTAAAGGAGTTGAGATGCTGCTGGTGTCCTTCTGCAACCCAGTTTTGCTTGGAACAAACTTGTTCTTTCTGAATTGTGACTTGGACGTGGCTTGGGTTTGCAATATTGGTTTTTTTTTCCCAAGAAAAGCCCTTGTGCTCCCCTACCCTGTCCTTTTGGAGGTGCCACCTGCTCCAGGTCATCCTGTAGCTGCTGGGGAAGGGTTTCAGCAAGTTGTGCCTCTGCCATTTGTCCCACCTTGGAGCAGTTTTGGGTTTCCCTGATGGCTCATATCCCTATTTCCTATTTATAAGGAAAACTGAAATCATGGAAGCACCAAACCCTCTACCCCAGAGGGCAAATCCTGGCACAGTTGGATGGCACTAAGAGGCAAATTGTGTCCTTCTGGCAAAGGTGATGCCAGGAGAATTGTCCTGGTGATGGATTAGGGCTGTTAGCCAGAGGTCAGAGGCTGGAGAAGGAGAAAGGTTTGCACAGGCAGCACGATTTTCTTGGCCTTCAGCTCTTTCCATTGTCAAAAATAGTCCTCTCTCAAGTGATTTAATAGACCAAATATTCTGGTGTAGTGAAGGGAGAAGGCTTCATTATATTGAAGTCAAACATACAGGAATATAATGGAAAATTACACATTTCAGACTGTGCTTGAAAGAGTGCTGTATTAAACAGCACAGCAAAAATAGCTGGTTAAAGTGTTCCCAGCCTGCTGGGACGTGCAGGCAGAGAATGGCATTATTTCCTACTTATTTGACTGATGAACTTCGGGTTACTTTCTTTGCCTTCCCTCTCTCTCTGCCTTCCCTCCCTCTTTGCCTTCCCTCTCTCTCTGCCTTCCCTCTCTCTCTGCCTTCCCTCCCTCTTTGCCTTCCCTCCCCCTCTGCCTTCCCTCCCCCTCTGCCTTCCCTCCCCCTCTGCCTTCCCTCCCTCTCTGCCTTCCCTCCCTCTCTGCCTTCCCTCCCTCTCCGCCTTCCCTCCCTCTCTGCGT